ACATACGATTCTCAGGGGCAATTGAATAGTGCATCGGAGATTTTAATCGGGGCAGAATTTACAGATTAACCCGACCGAAACATGTGATCGGTTTAATATGTGCAAATTGCGCGCGACGCCCGATGGCTAGTATTGTGCATACGTACGTCTATAAATACACCAGGTCGTCCTATCGAACCCAATCATCCCGACATCGCGCGATTGTGCATTGCACGAACGAGCTAGCGAGGAAGCGAATCTAAACCCCCGCTCAACCTTACCCGTGTTTCGTGCAAAAGCAATAGCCGCGTGTGCACATGTGCGTGCTAATTCAGTCACGAACGCGATCCCCTCAAGGGCACCGGTCGAGGGATGATCTGTCACCAGTGTCTTTTCTCGATTCGTGTATGTTTAACGAAAAACTAATTTGTCATTCATAAAAAAATGTTATAATCTAATAATTTTTTTTTTTGAGTATATTATTTGAACGAGTGTTTAAACTACATATATTTATCTCGTTAGAGAAAGAGAGTGTCAATTTTTCTCTCTCGGCTGGCCGGGCGAGATTCCGGGGGTCAAATAACGAGCTCGATGAAGTGTGAAAAGCGAATTGGTCACGAACCGAGATTGGTATCTCGAAATGATGCGGGGCAAGAGCGAGTTTCTGCTTCGCGGAAATAAATTGCCTTTGCGTGGCGGCTTATGAATATGTTTCGATACACCTCGACTTTTTTCGTCGATTTGTGTGTTAATTGAATTTTTTTCTCGTCGGTCTGTTATCTCGACAGTCAGATCAATGAGACATATTTGCCCCAAATTCTTATGGCTCGAGAAAATTAGATTTAAAATTACAAGATGTAAACGGCATAGAAAATTGTTTATTAATTAAAAATAAACAATTAAAAAAAAATTAAATTGAATTGTTTTTTTTTATACGTTCTATTAATTGTTACATTTAGTAAATCGTTGAAAAATAAAAGGAATAAATGTAAAGTAAATTGAACTGGTGTTTTAATAAGAAAATAAATTAATGATAATAAATATGTAACAATAATAAATTTAAGACTAGAAATAAAATCTGTATAATTACAGAATAATCAGACGCGATCTAACTTATTATTACACTTGTTATAATTCATGATTAAATAACTAACAATTTTTTATAAAAAAAAACCTAGAACATTTGAACTAAATGCAGGTTTGCTGTTAAACTAATGATCTCTAATTATGCTTTTTTTTTTTTCAAGATTTAAGAGAACAGATTGGAAATTTCAAGGCTACAACACAATTGTTAGACAAATAATAGTATTTATACGTGCCAGTGGCATTCTAGCTAAATGCAATTTTCTCTATCAACATGGCAATCGTTATTTTTCCCACTTTATGTCACGTAAAAAGCGACGCTTAGAGCAAGTTGCTTAGGGAAAATAGTCGGCATCTTTTCACGCGAGCTCACTTCTCGTCCCCCTTTTCATCCCCCTTATTCCGTCTTATTTCTTACGCCAACGCGAATCGCCACTGCATTGCGTGGCGGTGCACGTCGCAATGTTGAATATTCAACGAAACGTATGTCCGCAGGTCTAAGTAAATTCCTCCTGAAATGCATTTAGCCCCAAAAGCACATAGTGTAATTTATTTCGATCACGATATCGCGATATCGCGACCGAGAGTGAATTTATCATAGTTCTCGCCGCGCGAGTGCCCACAGTCGGATCGAACATTCGCGACACGGTGTATATAAAAAATTCGCGCCGAGCATTCTGCGTACTTGATCATGGAATTCTTTAATGCCGTTTTATCGAACCGGCGAGCTTGACAACAATATAATTAATCCGAATGCAATCCTTGTATATTAATAACATTAATTTCGGTGAATTTGCATGTAGGATATATTAAAAATCATATTAGAAATCCATAATTATCGGCGCAATCCAGTGAACGATACATTTGATAATCGAGAGTATAAACGGCCGGCGAATCCATCTATTAATAATACGGGGAGAGACATTTATAAGCAATGCGATCAATGATGGCGTCGTCCACAATGACTTATTTTTGCGTCACACGCTGTCGACCCTTTGCGGATCTAAGAAAGATGATGAAGGAATTCTTTCAGGAAGCAGGATAAAAATGGCGCGATAATTCATCAGCGACAAGGGGAGTCCGCGGCAACCATAAAGCAAAAAAAAGAAAAAACAATTTTGCGTAAATCTAGAGGATTTTGATCCAAATTTAACGAACCTGTTTCCTTTTTATTGCGGTTAAATGCTGTTTTAATGAATAAAAAGCGGGTTTTTAATGATCTTCTATAATAATTTCGAAATTGGATTAATTAAACTGAAATTTATTCTTATTGTATTTTACTCTCATATATGAATCATAAAAATGATATTGAAAATCTTTTCACACTGTTTTAAATTTTATCTTTTTTTAAGGATTTTAAATAGTTTGGAAACATTGCATTTTTTATTTGTGTCAGCTATTTATGTACTGTTCAAGATATTTTGTGTACATCTAACTTTGATTAGATATTTGTTTAGGTTTTATATTTCTTAAAAAAACAATCTATAAATTCTGAATTTATTAAGAAATTAGTATCATTTAAATATATGTTAATATCTTTTTAAATTATTATTTTTCAAATTAGGAGACCATACAGATTATTTACAATCACTAATTTCTATTATCTTTGCAAGGAATAGAAAGGAAAAATTTCATACTATTATTATACCGATTCTTTTTCTATAAAGAAACGAAATGTTTACATATATTGCGACAGAGAGAAAAGATTACGTTATTTTTAAAAATTGTATGGAAACATGCAACACACACACACACACCCACACTACCGAACATATTTCATCCCAAGCGAGAGAGGATACCATGGGAATCGAATCCAATTTCCCGTGACGTTCACTGTGGACAGTCGAACAGGACAGGCTCGAAACTGTCCAAGTTACATTTGTAGCGTTTATGCGTGCCACGTGTGCCATGTAAACTCGACATTCAGTCCAATAAACGCAACCCGAGCGCCGTTAATGTATACATTTCAAGATGAGAGAACGACACTATATATGTGTGTGTAAACCAAGTGTAAAAAAAAAAAAAAACTGACAGCTTTGACAAGTTTATTGCACTTGTCACACACAAATATGAAACATATGTACATAAATACAAATCATATATCTTTTAAATTATTAAAGCAAAGTTTCTTCCTCACCGACTTCGAGGAAAATTTCGGAACGATTTTCCTAATTATATAGGCTAATATAAAGTTGTCGACGATATCGTATTTTGTATGTGTGTTTGCAAATATTAATTTTTACTTCAAAATTTTATTTTATGCAGGAATATAAAGTTTGGAATTATTTTTAATGCAAAAGTACATATTAGCCGACATATTTTACGGTTTATGGTACTTGAATGATTCATTGAGAGAGCGAGCTGTTCCATGAAGTTTAATTAAGAAAAATTGTTCTCTTTTATTAGAATATTTACATAGCTAATATATTTCCAATATTGACGTAGAACTTGTTTTCTTTGTTAAGTTTTTTATCATATAAAAAAATATCATTGATCCTTGCCTCTCAAGCTTATTCTCTCGTCGAAAGAGGTGAACTCCATCAACTCCATCAAGTAACAAATAAACTAGCTACTTTGCAACTATATAGTTTGCAGATATTAAAGATCTTATAAGCTATTCGTAGCGCATTTAAACTTTTTTATAAGGTGTATAAGAGCATATGTATGTCTTATTGTTAGCAAAACAATATTCCTTGATAAAAAAAATATAAAAACTATACGAAAATGAATTTATACATATCACATTTTTTTTTTAAATATTCAAAAACAATTCAAATTATTCTTTTCAAGATTGTACAAAGATAAAGTTTATTTGCAATCAGCGGATATGAAAAAGCTCCTTTTATATTCTTTCGAATGCTTTGAATTTATTAAATGGGAACTCTCTCCTGAATTGGCCACAAAAGATCGAAAATTATCCTTACTGTAATACTTTTCGAAGGAAAAGTTGTTTCTTATGATTTCCAGCACACACACGAGGAATATCGTCTCTAGCACATAATCCACCGAACATTTTCCATCCCGCTGGAAATTCCTCCCTATTCCCGGGAGGCTAGAGCTCGCTCTCTCGGCGAGTCACTCGATTACGTTCACGTGGCACGTGCTCGCACGAGTAAAGCAAGTACGAGTAGCGTCGGCGACGTTCTGGAAAAAAGGCGAGATGGAAGGAAGGCGTCGCGTGTCGGCGTCTGCCAACTATACACATATGTGTAACATGCATACGGCCGTTATTAGTTATTAACGCGACCGCGAGCGGCCGCCTTTTTTCCCATCCACACGAGGGTGTGCTCACGCAGCACGTCACGGGGATCGATCCTCGGCCACGAGGTCGAGGGCTGAAAAGTGTTACGAGAGAGAAAGAGAGGGAGGTTGTGCACAGGCTCTGCCTTCTTCTTCTTGGCCGAGGCCGAGCCGAGGAACCGCCCTTAACCCTATCAAATTTTTAGTGAACCGCGTCAGCGATTTCGCCGAAGAATAGTGGCGGGATCGATGGTGAACGATAACGAGGACAATAAACGATTGAGCCAAAATGTCAAGTGTTTAACGAATTAGATTGTTCTTTAAATCTTCTTGAGACTTTGTTCAGTCTGTGTTTGTTTTAATTTATTTCTGAGCTTTTGAATATAGTTCAGATATTACGTCTTTAAGGAGTAGAATAATCTCACCTTCTAGACTAGGTCATTAACAGCATGATGTAATGCTTTTCAAGGGAACAAATCTTTTAGTCTTGAATCTTGACATTTAGATTAACGGGAATTACCTACAATGACAGTAGGTTGAACGTAAAGTCACAATGTTTCGGACAATCGTAATTTTCCAATAATTTCACGATAGCCATTTAATTTCAATAATTAAAGTTTTTTAAGGATAAGAGTTTTGAGCTCGTTACAGAGGGACGTTATAATTTATCTCGAGGTGGACCGATCGAAGGCACTCACGTCTCTCATCTCGAGGCCGCGGCGACGCGCTCGCGTGCGAGCGTCGTCGTTCCAGCGAGTCCGGCACCGATGACGGGGATGACGACGACGACGACGACGGCGGCGACGGGAAATGAACGCGATAGTGCGACGCGCGATGCACTACTTGCTGCTGCTGCTGCGGACGCGCACGTCGGTCGATGTGCCAGGCGCATCGCCCCAGCAACAACCACGGCACGAAGCTCACGACTGGCTCATCGCCGGGGGTTGCCTTCGAGTTCACCGGCTTGTCAGGGTGGCGGGGGGAGGAGGGGAAAGGGTAAGAGGTGAAGCGATGTGGACGTCGCGACGTCTGCCGGCGTCCCGAGAAAACCACCCCTCGAGCAAGCGCAAGGGGTGTCGATGCTTGATTGGAGGGTGGCTTCCCGGTGACGGGAGTGCGACGGAACTGTTGCCTCGATATCGGCGCCGTATTGGTGGTTATTCTAAATGGAAGGGCGACGGTATCGCTTAAATAACGCTGCCTTCAAATCTTCGTAAAAATTCTATATTTGTTCTCTTTATATATATCTTATATTTAATTTTTTATTATTAAATTTTTTGATATTTTGTATATATATTTTCTTTTTCTATAATATGATATTATTGTAAGTTCTCTTAAAAATATTTCTTAGGTTATTTAATACTAATATTTCTTTTTAATTGTTTCAATATATTTTATATCTATTTTTTTATATTATAATTTGTTTTTTCTTCAATTTCGTTTTTATATTAATTATTAATAATTTATCTACCAAAATAAATTATTTTGATTTATTTGATAGATAAATCATTAATAATTAATATAAAAAAAATTTTAGGAAAAAACAATTTATGATGTGAAAAAAAATAGATATAAAATAAATCAAAATGATTTATTTGATAGATAAATCATTATTAATTAATATAAAAAAATTAAGAATTCCTAAATAATTTATGAATTCCTGCTCGCCACACACGGCGAGAAGGAATTCATTTTTGGTATCAATTAAATTCATTACCAGAATGCATATATCCACAAATTCCTCCGGTTCTATTTCTCTGACGTCGTCAGAGAGTCGGCCTTGAACCACTTTGCGCAAAACCAATCGCGTTGATAATAATCTCGGTATCTGGGCGACTCTTTCCACGTTAGTCAACACATATCGAGATAATGTTAGACGGAAATGAAGCAGCTTCGAATTATCACTGGATAAAGATAGATTGCTTTAATTTAAATGTCGCGATCAGAACTATCTCGACCAAAAAAATCGATTAGCAATTAATAATAATTTAGTTACGTCTTAGATATAATGATAATTGCTCCATAAAGTTACGACTAGATTTTCATCATTTTATTTAATAATTATGTGTTTACATTTTTAATATTTTTAAATTAATTTTTTTTTCCACTATTCTACTTTATTCAATGAAAATATTATGAGACTCCTGAAAAAGAAGGACTCGATAAATCCTTTTAGTCGGGCTGAAATGATTGCCACTCAACTGTACGCCTTCCACTTTATTTCACTTAATCACGTTAAAGCTTAGAAAATGATCGGTACGATCTTTCTTTTATTAAGACGGAGCGACAAAGTCGGCTGCTTTCGACGCGTTTGAATAATCGCGAACGAAACCATTAATTTCGTTCAGCTTGGAGCCCTTTTATCGGCCCTGTAATTCCGAATATTCTCACCTTGCAGCGGGAGATCAACAGGTTCGCGTGTCGGATGTGCCGACACGCCGGAAGTCCACTCTCGTCGGCTACGTGAAATCATTCCGCGCGATACCGATCGGTTCGATCTTTCAATAAGATAAAAGCCGCGAAGGATCTGAGCAAGAGAAACGGTCCTTTAATTCACGCGATATTGACCTTTAATTCTCCCACGAGCGAGCGAAAGTGATCTTAAGGTACTTCCTTGAATGTGACTTTCCTTTTATCACCGTTTTTGAGAATATCTCTCCGTTTCTCGTTAACGTATTTTAGACTGTAAAAAGGGCCGATATATACGGTGTGAAAAAGTGTGAAAATAATGAAGAAAGGGAGGAAAGCTACCGGGGAGGATTCCGTTCACGAGATCGTAAACGGGTTGACGGTGGATAAAAAGCGGAGGAGGAACAAACTAGAGGATAGAAATCGACGGGGCATCGTCGAATCACGGTAGCTTTTACGACCCGGAGGACTTGTCGAAGAGAAAGGTGATAAAAACAACGCACACAATGTGTAAAAGTGTAGGCCATCTATTCTCACTTTTGTCAGGTCGCGTACTACATACATACATCTTCGCTTCGTCCTGGCGCGCGATCTCACTCTCCTCTCTCTCTCTTCGTTTTTTCGAGGAGTCGTCTACGTGAGAAATGTACAGCTAATTAGACAAACAGATACGAGAAGAAGAAGGGAACATAAGTACAAAAAATTGCGTAAGACTAACGTCTCGGGGAAACCTTATTCGAGCTAAGTATCGTCGGGATACTCGACCACGTGTTTGTGTTTTCGCTCTTTCTCGTTTTCCTTCGGTTTCGTTTCTTTTCTTCTCTTTTTTTTTTTGCGTACTTTATGCAGCTCTTTGTAAAAAATGTATCAATGTGAAAAACTGACCGGCTGATACGATGAAATGGAATGATTTTTGATTAACTGATTAACACATGGGCTTCGATTCGATTCAACGAAGGTCCGCCGGCAAAAACCAGGCAAGTTCGCTTTTTTCGAACAATTGAGTCGTTCATTATTTAGCGCTTGCTTCAGTAATAGCGTATCGATTGATACTACGAACGAAACGTAAAAAAGGTAGGTTCACTGCTTCAAAATTCAATTGCCTTGAAATTATTTGAAATTAAAGTCAGTTGGAGACATACGTGATTTCAATGCCCAGCGCGTTTAATTATTCAATGATAAATATTATTATTATTACTTATTCTCGGTATGATTTAATGTAATTGTAGTATTTTGATCACACATTGTAGTTATGTAAATTGCAAATGTTTTATAAAACATTTAATTATTAATTGATTAAAAAATGTAAAGGACACAGATTGTGTGATAGTCTTTACTACAAATTTATGAAGCATATTAATTTTCGTTTTTGTTTTGTTTTATGTACAAGTATTTACAAAGACAATTTTTTAAATATAAACCTTTTCAGAGAAAACATGTTTAAAATATATGTATATGTTACAATTTTTAATATGAAACATGTTGACATTCTCGCCGTCTTATGCTATAAATTCGTGCGAATTTGTAGAGAAAGTAAATTAATACAAAATAAAGATATAAATAAGAAGATAATATCAATTTTATACTTCTACTAATTACTTCTTCATTAAAATCTTTCAAACTTTTCCAAGACAGTGGAAAAAAATGAATTTATCTGACTTTCGCGACAGTATCTTTTTGTTTTACCGAGTTAAAAATATTTCTCATGCAATTTCTTTTCAGTGGAAAAATATAGACTTGTCTAGCAGTCGTTTATTTCTATTTCGTCGCCTCGCGAACGGGAGGATAAAATAAGATCTCTCTTCGTTCTTGGACACTTCTTCCGAGCTTTCCAGTAATATTAGAAAAAGTGGACTTGTCTGATCAGTGGCGGCTGACCTTCTTTCTTTATTTCGTCGTAGAAAGTCGAAAGAAAGAGATTCTTTTATCACAGAATTTTTTTGCCTTCGCGAAATTCATCGGACAAATTCGCGAGAAGGACAAAAGGACAGAATATATGAGGGCAGTTCTAAAATCTCGCGGTTCCTGCTATTTTTTTTTTCTTCTAATTACACGAGAGAATAGCGATATAATAATTGACAATTTTTTTTTTCACATGAGAGCACACGAGGCCCCCCCTCTTGCTTGGTCGAGTTTACCGCGCTCTATGCAGTTATTCACAAGGATCACACACAAGGATCCGCCGGAAACGGCGAGTCGCTCGAGACTCGTTCCGTTTTAATTATCTATAATCTCGTTTTCGTTTCGTGAAGAACACACGTGTTATATGTATAGCGTATATACACGCACGCACACGCGCAAAGTTCTGTCGTAAGCGCCCGTTATTCTTTTTACACATTTAATGCTAAACACGGCTGTCTTACAATAACGAAAACACTGTTTGTGCATTGTTCTGTGACATACAATTATCGTTCCGTTAATATCTCGTCCAAACTAATTATTACAACAGACAAATAACAGTCGTAAGAGTAAAAGACCATATTTTAATGTAAAATATGGCTTTTTAATGATAAACAAAAATAGATAACAAAGGTCCTAATTATTTAAATATAATAATGTTTTTATAATATCGCGTCTCGAATATCGTCTTTATGTCAGATAAATATCACTCGGGATCACATCGTATTTAGCGCTAAATGTGACTACAATAAAGAATAAAAATGAGGAGATATATTTATAAATCTTCAATTATCTCTCGATGATCTCGCGCTATCTTTCAATTGATTTTTATTAAACGAAAATTAACGAGAAATAACGAGATCGGAGAGAAATCGCGCTTATAACATTATAAATGCTCTGATATCAAACGCGACGTTAAAGCGGCAAGAATACGGGGCCCTTGTGCTTGTTTGCATTATCGTGGCATTGATAAGAACCTCGCGTGTGTGACTCACGCTTAGTAATGCTAGAGTAGATCCCGATTGCGCAGTTATGTATATTCGCGTTGTGTCTGAGTACGAATCATATGTTTACGCACTTCCAGTCGTACCGGAATGACCATACTTAATCGTACTTCGGCATCGCTCGATTATTTGTATCGCATCGGGAAGCGAAAAAGCCGAGCTGTCATGGTAAATCTTAATAAACAAAATCTAATTGACGATGAGATTCGCTCTTCTTTTTTCATCAATTCCGATACACGTTGAAGGAAGATGTGCGACCGATCGAGGTAATCGTGATACCCATGATGGTCATCACTCTATTTTTCGCGTATAAAAATTGTTAATTAAATTGTCATCGTTTTTAAATTACGATGGCGAACCAAATGAGTTGTAATATTTTATATAACGATAGATATGTATTTTATTTTAATGATATATTATATAATTAATACTTAATATTACTAATCAACCAGGATAATATATTGATTAATAATAATAACTACCAATTAATATTATCGATAATGTTAATTACAAGATGCTATCAACACTGTCCCTAATATTACATTTCTGAATATTAATAATATCATAATTAATATTGTTGTGCATTTGCGTAACATATTATAGCTTGATATTTGATTCGTTATTGCGTTCCGATATCACATTTATTTTCGATCACAATTACCCCGATCGGTTTTACTTTCCACCATCACTCTGATCTCGCGTCCAAAGTTTCGAAACTGCGTCCGCTTGCGTTATCAGCGAATTTCGAGGATCGTTTTCCGATCTTACGAATGTTTACGACGTAGGGGCAACCGGTGTTCACGACTACCGTTTGTGATTGTGAACGCTGGCCTTGCTCCTGGGACTGTCCGAGGTTGCGTCGTTGGGCTCCCTCCTCGGTCTCAGTATGAAATTGAGATTGTGCGCGGTATTTACAGCGTAATAGACGTTGGCCGAGGTGGGTAGTACCATCTCACGATCAGGTAGCACCTGGGCGAGGGTGTACTGATCGGGATTGCCCTCGATGCTGAGCTTCAGCATGGCGTTACGGATCACCTGCGGCGTCCGCTCGTTGTTTGACAGCATGATGGACTTGTAAAGCACCACGCCCTCCGTCTCCACGTTGTCCGTCTCCATGGTGACCTTGATGATGTAAAAGTCCGGCGAGCTCTTGTGCGAGTGGCTGGGACTGGATAGTCCGGCGAGATTGGGGGTGCTTCCGTTAGTTGGGACAGCGCCTGCCGGAGGCGCCAGACGGGTCTGATGGTTGCCACCCCCGCCTGAGCCCAAGGACACGTCGAGAGAAGGTAGAGACGAACTCGAGGACGAACTGGACATTTGCGAGGGCGAGGTTCGCCGGTCCAACGAGTTGTGAGGCGAGCTCGGTAGAGAGTCGAGGTCGCAGTAGAACTGGGAACTGCTGGAGCTCGACGTCGACGCGATCGAGTCATTTTTCCGATGACCCTGATGATTCTGCGAGACAAGACAATTCAGTTCTCCTTTTATCATTTTATCAAGATCGCTGGCAAATGAAAAGGAATTCACATAGTAAAATATAAATATCCAAAACGCATGCAGGTTAATTTATTTGTCTCATATAATTTTGGAGAGAAAATTTCTTGGTCGACGTGGTTGGATTAATGATTTTGAAAAATTCGTATGACAAGTGTCAAGAATCAAATTAAAATATTTTAATTATAAATATTAGAATTATAAATAATTAGAATATATTATAACTATAAATAATTAAAAATAAAAGATGCTAACTTGCTTCTTTTTGCCGCGATTGTTAAGAGTATTGCCCGCTGGTGGTGCCTCAATCTGACAGCTAAGCTTGTAAGCTTCCCGATCGTCCAATACCAATACCGAGTGGAACCAACGATCGAACATGGCGTCCGTGTTGAAATTGTACGCATTCGCCGCACCCTGTAAGAGCCGTATCCTTGCCAGCACCTCGAACTCTTTCCGTCTCTTATCGAAATTAATGAGACCGTCCGCTATCGTATCCGGTATTGCTGTATCGATCATCGTTAGATCAGTCAGGAAAGTGCCCAAATACGGTATCGTGCCGTAGCTGATATTCTGAAAGAAAATTTTGAATCAAATATATTTGCCTATCTAAATATTAATTTTTATACACTTTAGTTTATTTAAAAAATATTTTAAACCGATATTTTTTTTAAACATAATTTAAATATATTTAATATAATTTACTGATTATAATTCTAGAATTAAATTAATTTTGTTATAAAAAGCATATATATTAATTCGGATATCATCAATTTGGGAAAGTTAAAATTAAAAATTTTTTAAATAGAGATCTTTAATATTACACACTTTTTTTATTAAATTTTTATCTCCAAAATCTTATCAAAAAATTGAAAGAAAATTCACACAACACGATACTTACGCCCGCGTGAGTATTTTGTTTCTGAAAGAGCTTCTGCAAATGTCTATCGCTCCTTCCGGCAGTGTCGGCGAACTTGGCGGTGCCCTCCTTGATGAGCAGTTCCCTCTGCGTCCAGGCGTTATTTTCCTCGGAGAATATCCTCTCGAGTTCCCGAAAGAGCTCATGCTTCTCCCTAGGCATGCACTGCCAGCACTTTTCCAGCCGGTATACCGGATTGCTCTGGAGGCCGGAGACAATCGCCTTCAGGCTACTAAAGTTCTTGAGGATGCGTAGTTCCTGCGCGATATCAATCCACGTCTCGAGGATCCTGGCGCGATCCTGCGACTTGAGCGTCGGATACGGCATTGAATTGATTCACGGTCGCCACCACCGTGGCGGCCTCGTGACTCCTGGTACGATCCTTTCTGGACCAGACGGCACCGAGGCATTGATGGGCGACCAGCTTCTTGAATACCTCGGCGTCCATTCGTGTCAGCTGCTCGGCAAAGTGACGGTGGGGCACTTCCGGGAAGATGTAGTTTCCCCAGTGATCCGACATCGGATCCGGGGAACCGCGCATGGGTAGCCGACCATTGTCGTACACTATGCAGGAATCTGAGAAGAGAAAGAGAAAATTGAACTAAAATTTAATCTAAATTTAAAATGAAAATTCATATAAAAAAATAATACAAAATTTAATTCATTTTAATTTTTTTTAATCAACAAAATTTATTTTAAAATTATTAATTGTTGCAAAATCGATATTTATTTGATATGAAAAAAATTTGAATTAATTTACAAGCTTCCTGAGATTGAGACTTTAATTATAGAATCACAAGTGAATTTTATGTGAATTTTTTTATATGTAAATCAATGCAGACAAAACTTTTTTTCGGGAATATTTCTTGGAGCTCGTTTTTTGCTTTTTATTGACGCTTCGAAAACGTCCTCTATTTTGAGAATTTTTGGAACTGAATCGGGTTCCGTAGTTTTTAAGCGAAATCTGAGAAAGTGAAAGCTGAATCCTGCTGGTCATGTCAGTACAAACAGAACGGTGGACCCTCAATTGATGTGAGAATGCCTTTGTGCGAGCGCAAGCTGGCTGCTTGGCCTTTCACTGCCACTAACGTTCAGGCTCTTTCTATTCAAGCATTCGATAGATTTATTCTTTCGTAACGCGATAAATACCACCGTTTACTATTTTCTGCATTCTGAAAATATATCGTCGTAACGATCTTTACGAGACCTGGTTATTTCCGACGTATGTGCATAGAGTAGTCTATCTAATATATGCGTCTTTCCTGCGTAATTTCGGAGAGAAAGTTTTATAATAGAGGGTTGTACGGTCTTATGAGAGGCCCGTAATATACAATCTTTCTCCTCGATACACCTGTAACGTAACACTCTGACGGATGTTTTACTCGCTTATCGCGATTCAGCGAATTCACGGTAAATAAAACGACTCGTTACATGAGTCATTACGTTCCTATTGCATAAGCGGTGCTTCTCGATTCTGTTGTCAGAATTTCCATTCGAGGTCACATATGAGATATACATGCCTTTTAAATACAACGTAACGTGCTTCAAAATATCACTTCATAATTTATCATTTAAGTAAAAATTTATTATTTTAAATTTGCGTTTTATAAATTAACGATCATATAAAAATATTGATTTTATCTTCTTGTTAAGCTTGTTAAACTTTGATTTCTATTCGAGGTCACACATGAGATATGCTTCTAAATACAAGGTAACGTGCTTCAAAATTTGCCATTGTACAATTTATTATTTAAATAAAAATTTATTATTTTAAATTCATGTTTTATAAATTAATAAAAATTATATAAAATATTAATTTTATATAATTAATTTATATATAAAAATATTATTTTTATCTTCTCGTTAAGCTTGTCAAACTTTGCTTTGAATATGAAACTAGAAAGATAAATCCGTGTTACATCACTTTGAATAAACTTTGATATTGAAGAAGGAATTCTATGCGTGAATATATAATCTCTTTTACATAACCGAACTGATAAGGTTCGTGACATCACAGAGATCGTGCCGCGGTTATCGATCCTTCCTGCGTATTTGAACTTCTCACGATGCCGCGTGTCAGTTTCTCGTCTCTAAAGCTCACGATAAGGTTCGTGACTCGTTATCGAGGGAACCGAGAGTGTGACATTACCTATTTGATCCTCGCGCTGGAAGCGGTGCAGCCGGTGCCTGGCCTTAAGCTCGAGCTCGGAGCCGAGGAGGCGCCGATGCGTGAAGTCGAGGAGCCTGGCGAGGAGGGGGTGGTTGGGGGGCGACTTCCAGTCGCCGGGATACGCGTCCAGCCAGACGTGCAGGGCCTGGACGAGGGTCTTGCGATGCTGCTCGCAGCCGCCGGCGTTCTCGTCCAGGGCGTCGTATCGCGCGAGCAGCAGCTCGAGGACCTCGCGCGGCGTCGTGAACGCCCGATAAGTCGCCAGGAAGACGTTTATGTAAGTGGACTCCAACTCGCCGTCGTCATTCGCCAGGCTCTCGACCAGCCGCTGCACCGTGCCGGCTTTCAGGAAGCGCACCCTCACCGTCTCCCATTCCAGGTGCGAGATCTCGTCGTCAGAATCCTGCAAGGATCGAAGTAAGGACTCAGAATGTTGAAATCTTTTTTCGGCGTTCAAAGAAACGTACACTATCACTTGGCATTTTTATTTATTAGAAAGATTTATTATAGAATAGTTTATTATAAAAATTTATTATAGAAATTATCTCAGAATGTTTTTTCGGCGTTCAAAGAAACGTACACTATCACTTGGCATTTTTATTTATTAGAAAGATTTATTATAGAATAGTTTATTAGTTTATTATATTATAGAAATTA